GTCAGAGTTGTCTGAAGGTGCATTTTTTTTCTGACCTCCTTTTGGCCTAGGTAGCAATTCCCCCGTACACCCAACCCGTGTGAGCGCTACAAGCCAGGGAGCTTCTCTGCGATGGTTTCTTTAAAAATGTCAGTCTGGGTCAAAAGCCAAATCCATTGTCACCGTTCCTGCTCCCCCAAGGCCACTGCTCCGCTTTACTCTGGAGCAGAAGCTTCTGCCGAGGTTGGAGCCAAGGTGACTTGACATTCAGTTCGTGTTTTTCTCTGTAGATTTTGGCTTTTGCCCACGCTGACATCGCTTGCAAGTTGGATACAAGCAACCATTCTGGTTTGTCACGGAACTGGTTGATCTTATTGGAAACAGGAATTTTGAGTCAGTGGCGAGCTGCTTTCAAGGGGAATTGATGCTGATTGATGTCAAGGAAATATGTTCTTGTGGACAAAGTGAGGAGCGTAAGCCCTTTCCCGCTGGCTGAGGAGGAAGCGCTCACGAGACAGTCATGGGATGGAAAGCTTTGCTCAAGATAACATTTTCCACTTCTTGCAGGCAGCGGGCTGCAAACACTCGACATCTCGGCAGCAGAGTCTTCTCCTTAAGGAGCAGCCGGCTCGTGCTGCTGCTGAAAGACTGACTTGGGGGCACACATTGTGCCTCAGGGTGTTCAGCAGCATTTTGACCAGAGTAAAGCTGGGAAATAGCTGTCCTAGCCTTAGACTGTCTTACACGCCCCGTGATCCTCAAACCTTATCTGATGCGGTGTTGATCATTGCTGATTAAAAGATTACATTGCAACAGTTCACACTGTGTGTTTAAGTGTAAACACGGCTCTGTTGGCAGTCTGGGCAGCACGGGTGAGCGTGCCGGCTGCGGTGGCTGAGCCAGGCAGCTCCCCGTGGCCCCGTGCTGGTGGAATTTGTGATCTCAGTTGTGTCTGTTCCCTCTGCCTTGGTGTCTTCTGCAAACGGCTTCCCTTGCTCATTTTCCCCTTCCCTGGGATAAGTCACTCTTTTGGTCACTGCTCCTTGTGACTCTGATAAAGCTTTGACTCAAACGTTACTTGTGTCTGTGGATCAGGTGACGCTGGGCTCTGGCTTGGATCCTGGACCATTTCCTACTTTTCCGCTCGGCTGAGACTGGGGCGATGAGTTCTGGGCTCGTGGTACCTCAGGAGTTCCGTGGGGCGCTAACGTTGGAGCTGCTGATGTTTAAGACATGAGCTGTGGCCTCATCTCGGGTGTCGATCCTTAAGTTAAACCAGGATAACCCAAGAGCGGGAGGAGTTTGGTGGTGGTGAAATTCAGCCTTTTACAGTGCAGCGCGTTGGCCTTTTCTTGGGAGGCAGGAAAGGTGTTACAAGGTTTCCTCTTAGCAGGGTGCCCAACAACACCCCGTACTGTAGAGGCTCCGATCAGCTTCCTTGCACGAGATCCACTCGCTTTGCCAAGTCCAGGCTTTCCTGGGGGCGGTTCAGGGTCAGGGAGCAGGATGCTTCTGTGGTTAAACAAAACAAAACAAGCCTTGAAGCTGAGCGTTGATGTTAAGGTCTTCTCGCTGTTTGTTGGACTTGAACAGCGCTGACACCCACGATTACTTCTGTATCTCAGGTTGTGGATGTTTTCCCCATTTTTTAAAGGTCTCGCCGTTGAGTGTTTATTCTTAATTCAAAACGTCAGCTCTATATTACATTGTATAGCTCTGTACCGTTTTGGTGCTTCTGGTGGCAGTCAAATTATCCCCAGATTTAGGCTTGCATGATTGATTTTTATTTTTTTTGGACAGGCAATAAAGCAGCAATATTAATGTTACCTCAGGTGCGTTGCCAGTAGTGACAAAAAAGTGCTGGCAGTGCAATTCAGTACCTAATCCTTCTTGTAAAGTTCATAATAAGTGTAGAAGTGCTGCAGAGCTGAGCAAACCTGAGACTGGTGATAGGAATGAACGTGAAAAACTTTGTATAAGTTGTTCCTGATGGTCTGAGGGAGTACCTGACTTGTGGCTTGTTTTTTTTCAGCTTATAGAACTGTGTCGGGTGTGAATGGTCCCCTGGTTATCTTGGATCAAGTTAAGGTAAAGGTTTAGTTCTGATGATGAAATTTATTTTTTTTTAACAGGCTAGGTTCTAAGCTTAAGCTTGCTTGAAACTGAGAACTTTTCTTTCGTAACCGTTCTTCTGGATTTTAATGCTCTCCTTCATCTTTCTTGCTCACTCTCAGTTTCCCAGGTACGCAGAGATTGTTCACTTGACTCTTCCTGATGGCACAAGAAGAAGTGGGCAGGTCCTGGAAGTCAGTGGCTCCAAAGCTGTGGTTCAGGTATGCCTGGGGACAGGAGTGGCTCTTGCTGCAACAGAAAAATATTTTATTAACCAGCAAGTGTCTTTTGGTCCTGTAGAGTAAAAAAAAAAAACAACAAAAAACCCCACCAGCCAAGCACTAATTATTCTAGTTGCAAGTGGCGTGAATAATTTTACAAGATTGAAAACGGTGACATTTTTTATTTACATCCCCCCATGGATTTCTCTGCCACTAGATTAAAGGAGTCGTACTCTAATTGTGCAGTATTAGGTTCAAGATTGACTCCTCTGCTGCATGAATGCAGCTATTTCTTCTGAGCAGCTGCTTCTTTTTAATATTCTTTCTTCTTATCTGAAGAACTTTACCCTGTTGGCAAGGGAAATACGTGAGATCAAAGGAATGGCACTGGCTTTGTTGGCTGCTACTGATACACTCGATGAATTTTGTTTAAAGTAGGTTTTTATGTGATGTTTTGTATGAGCGAGCTGCTGCTCTTGCCTCGCTTTTCTGCCCCGTGGCTGATCAAGTTCTCAAGCTGTGAAGCAGCGTTCTAGGGTGTAATTTTGTAGAGCACAATACTTACTCCTTTCTCCTGGGTGGGTGAGTGCTTGTGTGTTATTTAATTGTGGCATATTTACAGGTATTTGAAGGAACTTCAGGTATTGATGCTAAGAAAACATCTTGTGAGTTTACCGGGGATATTCTTCGAACCCCTGTCTCTGAGGATATGCTTGGTGAGTACTTGCGTCTTGCTTTGAGGGGTGAGCCGGCTTAGCACACAGTAACTTATTTTCGTGGTAACTTATGTTTTGATTTTATCGCTATTTCTCATAGGCAGAGTATTTAATGGATCAGGAAAACCTATAGACAGAGGCCCCATTGTTTTGGCTGAAGACTTCCTTGACATAATGGGTACGTTCTTAATCCATTTCTGGTGTGGAGTTAAAGGCAAATCATAGACTGGCTTAGGTTGGACGGGACCTTAGAGATCATCTAATCCAACCCCCCTGCCATGGGCAGGGACACCTGGTGTTTTTGGTTGAGTACGAGTGTGCATCAAACTCAAATCAAATTTACACAAGTGCAGGAAGATGAGGTAGCAGAAAACAACAGTTTTCAGTAATGCTTGGAAGCTGTTCCTTGAAGTAAATATACAACCTCTGAAGAGGAAAAGCTGATAACCTGACAGCTTTTCTTGAAAGCACAGAATGCTGGAGTCTTAGGATCTACAAAAGGCTCAGGTTTGACTGAGTGCGTCTTCAGATTTGTAGGCCTAGTGATGGGATTTGCACCTTTTGATGTGAGCGTTAGATTGGCACTTGAGGTCAGCGGTGGCTTGATCAGGTTTCAGACACACACATGGAGTAACGTGTGTTCTCTTAAACGTAACAGGTCAGCCCATTAACCCCCAGTGTCGTATCTATCCGGAGGAAATGATTCAGACTGGCATTTCTGCTATAGATGGCATGAACAGTATTGCCAGGGGTCAGAAAATCCCCATATTCTCAGCTGCTGGGTTGCCCCACAATGAGGTGAGTACTGAAAGCTGCTCGCTAAACACTTAGTGGTTTGCATTTCCCTGGCGTTTAAAAGTAAGCGAAGTTAAATTCTGGTCTGTGTAATAGCATCAAATACACAGATGGCCTGAAACGTGGGTTGTTGTTTTTTTTTTTCCCCCTAGATTGCAGCTCAGATATGTCGCCAAGCTGGCTTGGTGAAGAAATCCAAAGATGTGATGGACTACAGCGAAGAAAACTTTGCCATTGTATTTGCTGCTATGGGTGTAAGTCAATATTATTAGTGGGAAGTGATGCTTGAGTAGTAAATAGGACAGTGCTGAGAGTAGTGAAGTGTTCTAAGTAGGTCTAATGTATAGAATGACTGAACGGCACAAAATGCAAATGGCCAGAATTAATGTAACAAAGGATAGAGCGTCCTAATCTCTAGCCTGGGATTCTAGAAGTAACTCAGTTTTTCGGGAATGTAGAGGAATCCTCGTGATACAGAGAGCTTTGTGGATGGGTTGTTACTGAGGTGTTTAGATCTTAATATGATGCAGAATGTAGTATGGCAACCTCTGGTCTGGAGCTGATGCCTTAATGTGATGTAGGTGAACATGGAAACCGCTCGGTTCTTCAAATCGGACTTTGAGGAAAACGGGTCCATGGACAACGTGTGTCTGTTCCTGAACTTGGCCAACGATCCAACGTAAGTCCTTACACTGAGCAGGGTGGGAAAAGGCTGAGAAGATAAGTAAAACCAGGAGCTGAAGCCTCACTGGTGTCCTGCCAGATGTCACTTGTGTTGGTGTTTTGCAGCAAAGTTGAGTACAAAATGCCGATGCTCCAGCTGGTGCGCGTAGCAGATTTTTCAGACTGTTGCAAAGTATTTGTAGCTTCACACTGTTGCCTTGCAGCCTTTAAAGCACTTGTCATAAATAACGCCCTGCTGTTCTGTTTCAGCATCGAGCGCATTATCACACCTCGTCTAGCTCTCACAACAGCAGAGTTCCTGGCGTATCAGTGTGAGAAGCATGTGTTGGTCATTCTGACAGACATGAGCTCCTACGCGGAAGCTCTGCGAGAGGTACGCACTTATTAACTCGCCTGCTGGGCGTTGGCTGAAAGGGTTTGGGGTATAAAGTGGGAATGTAAACTTATGCTTGAGCTGGTACGAGTAGCATTCGTCACAGTGTTCTTAACTAGTCAGCGAGGATTTTAGTTACTCATTGCTTTGCCTCCTCTCTGTGTGCGTGGTTGTGACATACGTCTCTTCCCAGGGGTTAGTGTGGCTATATTTTGGTAGGACCTGCAGGAAGAGGTACTTTTAAGTCGCTCGTGTACCTTAATTAGGGGAAATGCCAGGTCTGTCTGTGTGACCTGACTTCTCAGAGACGTTTTCCTGTGTTGCCTCAGGTTTCAGCAGCCCGAGAGGAGGTGCCTGGCCGTCGTGGTTTCCCGGGTTACATGTACACAGACTTGGCGACTATCTATGAGCGTGCTGGGCGTGTGGAAGGCAGAAATGGTTCCATTACTCAGATTCCTATTCTTACCATGCCCAACGATGGTGAGTTACTCTCAAGTGCTGCTAATAAATAACACTTTAAAGGACTTCTTTAGAGCAACCTGCCTTATTTTGGCCACGCAGCAAGATAGGAGATCCTGCGGCCTCTAGGTTTCCATTCGAGTGTTGCAATTCTCGGCTGCCTTCTCTGTCTGTATCCCCACTAGAAATGTTCTGCTCGTTTCAGACTTCAGGACTGATCTTCAGCCCTTTATCGGGAGGGCTTACAGCTCTAACCCTTGCGTAAGAACAGTTAGTGATATGTGGGGGGCACTAACAGATGGCGTTTTATCAGAAGTCACTGAACTGCAAAAAGCTGCCATATCAGCACTGGAATGGAAATAAAAGGTCTGAAAACTGTCAAACCATCTTTTTTTTTTTTCCCCCACAGATATTACTCATCCTATCCCTGACTTGACTGGATACATCACTGAGGGACAAATCTATGTGGACAGGCAGCTGCATAACAGACAGGTGTGTGCCTCAGCAGTTAGAACATATTCAAGATTATGCTGTGCTTTTTGAAGTATTAATGTCAAAATTGTTGAATGTCTTTTTCCTCCAGGTTTACCCCCCTATTAACGTCTTGCCCTCCTTGTCTCGACTGATGAAGTCCGCTATTGGAGAGGGTATGACCAGGAAGGATCATGCTGATGTATCCAACCAGCTGGTGTGTAGAAACCTCTCTGGAAAAGCAGAGGCATACTTAAAAAATAACATTTACTCGACAGCGTTTCTGTTTCTGTCCCTTCTAGTACGCCTGCTATGCCATCGGGAAGGATGTGCAGGCTATGAAGGCTGTTGTTGGGGAGGAAGCTCTTACCTCAGACGATCTTCTTTATCTGGAGTTTCTGCAGAAGTTTGAGAAGAACTTCATTGCTCAGGGTAAGTGTTGGTATGAAGAACATCACTGCACGCTCCAACACCTGGAAGGTCTCGTTCTCGGATCTGCCTGGTGGTGAGATCCTGCCCCCATTTCAGTCTGCGGTTGCTCCCCGCAGGTCCTTACGAGAATCGCACTGTTTACGAGACGTTGGACATCGGATGGCAGCTTTTGCGAATTTTCCCCAAGGAGATGTTGAAGAGAATTCCTCAGACCACGCTGGCTGAATTCTATCCTCGAGATTCGACCACAAAACACTAGCCCCAGCTTCATCTCTAACTCCTTGCTCTGTGAAATGCTGTTCGTTTCCTTTTTTCATGTGTTGGTGTTTACTTGTCGCCCTTCCGATTAAAACCAAGAATAGGTGACGTTTGTGCCAGTGTTCCAATGTACACTGATACCAGTTTTTAAAATATCCCTTCTTTCAAAGCCTGTATCTTCAGGAAAATATTTAGGCCAGCTCTTACAAATGTGCAATAGCTGTCGCAAAGCTTGTGGGGTTTTTTTTGGGTTTTTTTTTTCAACTGGACCTTTTGTAGACATTTCAAGGCAAAGGGAATGTCTGAGGATTACCAGAAATTGCAAATCTTGGCTTTCAAACCAGGAGCACGTGGTTTAGAAAACCTGAAAGAGAAAATGTGACTTCCTTTGTCCCAAGCATCTGCTCGGTCTGATCACCCGCAGTCGGTGGAGCAGATGGCACGCGCCGCTGCTGGGCCTGAGGACCAGGCTCGTTTGTGGCAAGCGTGATGCGAGACAGCATTCCTTTCTGGAAAATGCAAGTCCCTGGTTTTTAGCCCCGGCTAAAATTCTTAAAGGTGTGCACGAGCTGAGGACACCGGGAGGCCTGCCAGGTGTTTTTGCACTAGCAAAGGGTCTTTACAGAGGTGACAGGCCAGCGGTAGGGAGCATGGTAGGGCTTAATTACTCAGAGGTTTTAAATTGAAGTTTTTAGAGTAAGCTTCCTACTTGCCTCCCCTTTTTTTTTCCCCCCTTTGAACTCTGGAAATGCCAGAGACACAAAACAGGGGCTAAAGCATTCTGAGATCAGTAGTGTCCCGGTGGGCAAAACTGAGTAATTCAAGGCTTTGCGCTGCTACTGAAGGGGATTATCTGAGATGTGAAGAAAAAAAAAAAAGAACCTCTTGCACATGGCACAGTTGTACTGGTGGGAGGTCGGCTTCTAAAGGATGTCTTGTATAACTGGTGCAACAGGAGGAAGCGACTCCGTGTGTGAATGGATATTTTGAATTCTGCTATAAAGCGTGCTCTAGGTGGCACTGGGTCCAGAGTCGTGTTTGAAGCTGTTGTGGTTTGCACTCCAGGCACAGATTTGGCGAGCCGGGAGAGCTCGGCGTTCCCAAACACTGCGAACTTGGCCAGTCGATTCCGTGTTGTTTTTCTCAGATGGGTTCAGATGAGGCTCCAAGCCCAGTGCTGGCAGGCTTGCTTTGCTTTTTTCCCCAGGCTTAATGTAGTCTAAGCGCTGGTCTAGCTAACCAAAGCATGTTGCACCTCTCTAAACGCCTTCAGTGCTTGTCTGGGAAGGTGCAAACATGACTTGAACGCCAGTGTACTAATTCCAGCTTTCCCTGACGTCTCCTCTGTGCAGTTCTCTCGATAGTTTGTTCAGTGTTCTCTGTAACTTGGACGCAACAGCAACTTGATTCCAGTGCATTCCACCCTAAAGCTCTGTCATGTCTATTATTTTTCTTGAGGTGAGGATGGGCGGTTGGAAGTGTTGGCATGAGAATACTTTAATGTAGAGAATATCTAAATAAATTAAATATGGAAGGTGTTGAACCAAATGGAGGCTTTTGTGATTCTGTGGCTCTAAACAACTTTCAAGTCTTCCTGCAGCAGCTGAGATGTGAAACTGCTTCGTAACGTGCTGAAAACCGGGAAGAAAGCACCTTTTCTTTCTGCTGGTTTTGCCCTTCTGTTTTGTGCCCTGGTGTGCTGAGCTGCACCGACGCCGTCTCCGTCACCAGAGTTTGTTGCGGCTGATAAAAGCCCGAGGCTGTCTCGGGTCTTCCATTGGGTGTTCTGTGCTGTAGTTCCAGCTGTTCTTGTAGAGAAGTAACAAGTCCTTGAGCTGGTAAAGATATTAACTCATTTTGGGATTTTTTTTAAAAAATACTCGTTTAAATGTCCAAGCTGCTTCCTGCAGTGTGCTTTTCACTAAGGGAGACATCTAAGTTACAAATCCCACATCCTCAGTGTTAATAACGGCTTTGATTGTCCCACAGAGCTTGAAAGACTTCAGTTAATGCGCAGGAAGAAGGATTTAGTACATTAACAACATGCCTGATGCCTTAAAAATGCTCGCCCCAACTCTTTTTGATTTTCTACCCATTCACCCCCTCAGGTGCACTCACTTTGTCTTGAGGGGGGGGAGGCTGTGCTTAGGGCACAGGTATAACTTCATGCACAGAGAAACTCCAAAGTCCAGTGAATTCCTGAAATCCTGGTGACGTGTTTTGGGGACAAAGGTGGAACAAGCATTCCTGGGGGTGGGCAAGGGCTGCAGAGCGAGGCAGCTGCCTCTCAGGACATACCTGCAACGGCCATAGCGAAGCAAACGGAATCCTGCAATTATAAGAATATTCACTGCAATTTAGCTCCACTAATTTGCAGCTGCGGGGAGCAAAGGGGAAAGCCGTGTTCTGGCTCGGGGCAGGCTGGTGAGCAGCTCCGACGCACAGGCAAGCCATCGGCGACAGCGTGGCTCCTCTGGGCCAGACAGAGGTTTGGGATGAATGTAAATAGTGAGGGCTGGGAACAAAATCGCTGGGAAGGAGCGCGGCAGCCACGCAGCGGCACTGCGCGCCCGGCGGGAGCGAGCTGATCCTGAATCGGCAGCGTCGCTGCAGTCCGCAAGGATGAGGCTGTTTCAGAACCTCTGTCACCTGGAAATAAGATTATTTTGCAAACGAATATTTAGACAGCAGTGCAAGAGCTGCTTCAGGAGTAATCGGAGCCCCGGGAAGCAGCAGCGTGTGCAGCGGTGGCCGGCTCGGGTAGCGCTCACTTGAGTTTTTGAACTGAGCTTATGGGGCTGCCTCTGGTTCGCTTGGCTTTGTGAGGTGAAGGGAGAAAGTTGTGCTCACAGGCACAGCGCCAGCCTGCTGAGGCTTTTCAGCTCTTATCTGGGGGAGTTAATTCAGGCTCAGTTGCTGCTTAAACCCCTAAGACTTCTGTTTTAATGAGGCGTGTACGTCTGGCAGTGGTTTGGGCAACATTCCTTGTCCCCTCTGCTCCCTGGACTTGAGCAGCCAGGCTGCCCGCACCACACCGCTCCTCGCTGGCAGGGACTCTTGCCAGGCCTGCCCAAACCTGCTCTTCTCTGGCTCCGGACATGCAGAGAGGGCAGAAATCTCTGTGATTTCCCTGTGAGACTAGAAGCTCCCAGGTAGCGAGCAGCCTGAGCCTGGCGTGGTGCCCTGTAAGAGAGGAATGACAAAAATAGCTTCAGCTCTCATCAGCCGGAGGCCCCGGGAGCAGGCTGGGGCTTGCAGCACAGCTATTTTAGCACCGAGCCGAGAACACAGCCCTTCACCAGGAAAACGGGATGGGAAAGCAAAGGGGTGCTCGGGGCCGGGAGGAAGGGGTGCCCCTCAGCGTGGCGTCGGGCCGGGCTGTGCCATGAGCCGCCTTGGGGATCTGTGTCCACCTCGACACGGCGCTTCGTCGGGTGCTAAACAAACAGCGAATATTTCACAGCGCAGAGACAGCAGGTACGGTGCTAAATGGGACGTGCTGATCTCCCAGCTGCTGCCTTAGCGCATTTACACGCTGTTTTCTTTTTTGTTTTTTTTTTTTTTTTTCTTAGTAATGACTAATGAGGACTGCCCGGGGGTCTTATCCCCCTTTGCCAACTGATGTCAGCCAGTCGGGTCCTTCGGAGAAGCACACGCCAGCTGTCGGCTCATTTAGGAGGGGAGGAGAGCAAACATTGGCCACGTTTCCCCCACCCTGCCCCTTGGGTTTTCAGTTGGGACTGGCAGATGTAAGGCAGGGGAGCAGGCTGGTGGGGAGAGCTGCTGCAGGTTATTTGCACATCAAAAGCAGCTTTGCCTCCGACCCTCTATCACCCTTCCAGCACGAGGTGGCTCGATTTAATTGCTCTTTCAAAGGCAGCCTTGGTCTGGTCTCTGCTGAGATTTTAGGTCTGACTCTGCCCCCCCATAGCCAGAAACTCGTGCAGTGACACCGGGGTGTTAAAAGAAGATGCAAATCAGCTTTTCTCCATCTTGAAGCTTATTTGCATCCACTGATTAGTTGAACAACTAATTCAAACTCCTTCTGTTTGAGGACGGTTGGTGCTCAGGCAGCTGGAGCAGAGCTAACCCAAAGCAGGGAACCCCAGTGACCGGGGGGCAGATGCACGAGCTGGTGCTACTTCTCCTGTTTTATCCCCCCAACACCTGAACCAACCGTGCTCTGATGTTTCCTCAGCCTGGACTGGGCTCTGCCATGCACCAATGCCATCCCATTCATGTTCGACCTGCCACAGGGGAAGCACTGGGTATCTCGAGGGAGGGAATGGCTTCACACCTCCCGCTGCACCAGAGGGTCCTTGTGATCCCACAGTGCCCCAACGCTGGAGCTGCGCTTCTCTTTGTGCCAAACTGCAAAGAGCCAGCTGGTGCCCATTACCTGATTTCTGCTGCTGCCTGAGGCAGAGGATGCTCTGAGCCCTACCTGTGGGGGGGACACAGCTTCTTCTCATCAGGAGCTTCATTAGCATTCTGGTACAAAAGGGGTGGGACCCCAACAGTGAGGGTTTTGTCTTCCTAGTTACTCTGAGCATCACCAAGAATCTGTTTTTGCTCCTGGACCTGCCCTAACTTCTGCTCAGCCCTGGTGAGTCTCTGTTTTGCTGCACCACAGCGTCTGCAATTTGGTTGTGAGCTCTGTGGGACAGGGATAACTTGGGATGGCAGCGGGCTCGGGGCTCTCCTCCTCACCGCTCCCCTGACCCAGAAACACGGAGAAGCCTGGGAAGGACCGGGCTGAGCTGGCAGCTGGGGCAGGCAATGCTTGGAGGGATCAGTAATGGAAGGTGCTGTTCAGGAGAGTCCTCGCACGTGGTTTTCTGTCTCCTTCCTCCTCAGCAGTTTTTTAAGACTCTAAAAATAAACTTGCCTCGGGCAACGTGAGCAAAGCCAAGGTTTCCCTGGAAAGCGTCGGCGGGTGCTTGGTGCCCTTTTGAGGGGGCACAGAGCAGCTTGTGTGTGGCTTGAGCCCCCCACCCTGCACTGCGGTGGGGTGAGCACCCCGTAGAAACAACCCAAAGAGTCAGGATGAACAGTCCTTCCCAAAACTGAAGTGCTTTCCCCTATTTTCTGCCCCCCTTTTAGCTCTTTAGTCCAGCAAAAGCACCAGATCTGTGCAGAGCGAATAGGCTCAGAGTCGGTTGGTGGAAAGCGGCTTAAAACAGTCAAAACACGTCCTTGGTTTCGTTAAGGCATTTCTCTCCCTCCGTAATTGTTTTTTTCCATCTCTTCTCTGGAGACAGACCTGCCTGCTCCAGGGCTGTGA